TCCGTTTACAACTTTAACTATGAGGAAACAAGGCTGTCTTTCTTTATACATAACAACATAACAAAGGTAAAAAAAACAGGAGACAAATTTGTGCGGGTGGGAAATAAAACCAATATTCTCCTTTATCAATCAAAACACTGGTACTTGTACCAAATAACCTGAAAGTCTTGACTTAAACTACAATAAAATGTTGAGAAAACGTTAAAATCAAACAGTTCCAAAGTAAAAAGGAGCATCACAATGAAGATAAAACAAGGTTAACAACGAAACTTCCCTGAGCAAACAATCTGTAATCTGTCCCACTATCATAGCAGTTCCATACTTAAATGACTATTAAATAATGTCAAAACTCCTTTTGTTTTGTATCCATGGCAAGTTGTGTTCTGTTGTACCTACTAGTATATTTCCTAAAGTATTCAGTTACCATGGCTACATCTGTTGACATGGCTACAAATGTTCTGTTGTGTCAAATTATTCTCATGGTTACCACCAGTCTGTAGCCATGGTTACAATCTGTCATCATGATTATGTTTTTACTTTTTAACATCCATAAACTTGAAAGAACAATAACAAAGAAAAAGCCAACTGGCTTTCAAATACTTTAAATACTACTAGTACCGTACCAAACAAAAGTACAGAAGTGTGATTTAGCTGCCATTTTCAGAAATATGCCTTCTCTACTGTAACTTACTATGGCATGGTGTGTCTGATGGAATGCATCATTTCGAAAGTTTTTATACCAAAAGAACAAAGGCTTCTGCTGGCTACAGTAAAACAATGTACAGGGAATAAAGAGACTCTTTTTACACAACCCAGTCAGCCAACGTTTTGGTGACCGTCTGTCACCTTCCTCAGGGCAATTCTGACTGGTTCACATTGCATGGCAGAGAGGAAGGTGACAGACAGTCACTGAAACGTCGGCTGAATAAAACACTTGGTTGTGTAAAAAGAATCCCTTTACTCAGTGTTTTACCAAACTGATGAAACTATTAAAGCAAATGTACAGGGAATATATCAACTTTCCAAGGCTTTTTATAGTTGAATATACTGGCTGTGCCATGCAGATTCAAACAGAAGTCCTTCAGTCAGAGATACGTGTCTCTCAACTAGAAAGTGTGAACATAGATGTAGTAGGCACCCTTATTGTGTGTTCCCGTAATGCAAGTGTTAGGTTAGGGCCTGGTCACATTCATTATACGATCATCTTACGATTGCAAATTAAGAGCATTCTTGGGATGCATTGAACAAAATTCGGCTGTCTTGGTACCAAAAAGCCTGTCCTAGAACGGTTTAGGCAACGGAAAAGATGGGAGGATAATATCAGAGAATGGACCAGCATGACACTACGTGAAACATGTTTAAGAGGAATAGAAAACCAAGAAGGGTGGAGAGAAAACTGGTTGTCTGTGGTGCCCCAATGGTCAAATAATTATACTAAGGGATAGATAAGATGACGAGACATCATTGTCAGCATTGGTACCGTCATAGCCTGCTTGGAAATTATATTACCTCAAAATCCCACGAAGACCCATGTGTAAAATGTACCAAATTCAGCTGCCCAGTTGCCAAAAATGTTGCCTTAGAAACTTGTAGGCGATTGTTTCAGTCACAATCTCCTTGGAACTTACATGCCCTCAAAATCGCAACACCATGTGTAAAATGTACCAAATCCAGCTGCCTTGTTACCAAAAAGGCTGCCTTACAATCTTGTTGGTGATTGTTTCCGTCACAATCTCAACAAAAATTGTACAACGACCTATGACGAATGCTATCACACAGTAATGTCTGTGTGTTGTGGTGAGTCTACAGGAAGAACAGCCTATCAGCCAGGTCCAGACTTGGATCCTTGTGGATGCTCTGCCCGACGAGGTAGGCAAGCTTGTGTGCGTACTGACAGGGAGCGGGGACTCGCACGGTACCGGGCCAGTTGTAGTACAGGTGGGTCAACTTGTAGGACAGCCTGGAGGAGAAATATGAAGACATTTAGAGCTGTGTACGGAAACAAATATTAGGTACATGCACATGGGTCTAGGTACTGGCCCAAACCATAGCCATCTTTCTTTACTTGTGAATGTTGTCTGTGTATACAAAAAGTCTGACCACCATAGACTTGTGTATAGTTTCCCCCATGCAGTTGACAGTTACTGAGGGGAAATATTACTCATAGTCATACCACGGCCTCATTCTCCTGGCAAATGGTTCACCCTATTTTTGACTGCTTATACTATTAATAACCCCGTAGGAAGATATCATTATAACGAACGTTCCATCCTCAATGGTTCTTTCATTGCTACAGAAAGGGTGGAGGCTACATGCTACTATCCATATCCCTTGGAAAAGCCTGGTAGAGGCTACCACTAGGCTAATTAAATGTAGGAACCACCCCTTACCTCTGCATGTAGTCAGGCTTGAGTCCTGTGTCATTTGCCACTACGATGTAGATCATTTCCCTTATTTTTGCCAAAATCTACTGTCTGTAACCCTTTTGCAAGGCCTGGTGGAGGCTACAGTACATTTGTATGTGCTACCTTCCAAACAATAAAGCAAGGGTGTTCCCCCTCTCCCCAAAATCCTAGCAACTCTCCCAAAATGTTCAAACTTAGGGTTTTCTTCTAGAATTTTCATGAAAATTCGCTGATTTTCATTGACCAATTACGGAGCACCTCTCCCCTAAGAATTTCTGGGGAGACCCTTGCCTTAAGAAGGCCTATTCAAGGCACCACTCCTCACCTCTGCATGTAGTCAGGCTTGAGCCCTGTCTCGTCGGCCACCACAATGTAGTGAGTGGGGCTGACCGTGCCCTGGCGCACGTGCTGACTGATCAGGAAGAAGTCATACCAGTCACGCCGAGTCACCGTGTGGTCCAGTATTGTTCCTGGCCTCGGGTTGTCCAGTGAACCACGGTTCTGATTTCAAACCACGAGAATAATCAATCAGTCACACTTTAAAGAAGCCACATGACAAGCTTCACTGGGTCAGTCTACTGAAGAAGACCAGCTGCAGAGTGACTGGTCGAAAACTCTACTTCTGTGTGTTGTATCAAAAGTTTTAACTTAAAACATGTAACTACCAACACTGATGAACTTTCATGACATTATAACAATCAAGCAGATTGATCTTAGTAAAATCTATTTATTTAATCTACTTTTCAAAACATCTGGGTAGACACTAGAACAATTTGCTGGTTTCCAGGGGGGTTGAGATAATATGAAATAGAGAAACTGAAGTTTACAAACAGATATTGAGTAATTGACAACAAACTTCAATTCCGTTGATCCAGCTGCAATTTGCAATGAAATATATGAATAACTTGTCTTTAAGAAGCTAAAAAAAAGACACATACAGTATTTTGAGCCTTGCAAGCTGAATTCACAATTCACTTGTTTTAGGGCAGTATAAACAATAATGCATTTCTAGGAACTTAAGTCCGACTACAGATGTTACAACTGGACTCACGTATTCAGCAAAGATGCGTGTGTTGATTCGCTTCTGTACGATGACCACGGCCAGCTTTGGCTTGTAGTCTTGCCCACCGAAGTACCTCGCACAGTCACGCAACTGGTCAACCTCATAGCCTGGTGGGGAAAGTGAACAACAGGGAAACCAGCATTAACACCTTACAGGGTGAAAAATACAAATTGTCCAAACCTAGTGATGGACAGGTGTAGTTGTCTCCGCATCCCTCGTTGTCAGGCAGACAGAATACTTCAGGTGATTGAGCCTGTCCACCCCCGTGTAGACTCTAGTTGGTATCGCCCAAAGTTGAAGGGTCACCCTCCCTGCGCATGCGCACCAGTCTAAAGTTTTCAGCTCCACCTGGCCGAAGCCCTCTCGGGATGGGTCGTGCCGGAACTCGTGGAGAACTGCACCAGTCAGGGAGGGTGTCTGCCTGACAACGAGGGATGCGGAGACAACTACACCTGTCCATCACTAGGTTTGGACAATTTGTATTTGTCTACCGCATTCCCTCTTATGTCAGGCAGACAGAATACTTCAGGTGAGATTTGTAGCTGCTGAGGCCAGGACGTTTCTTCCGAATGAAGCTGACCCCACCGGTCTGTTGTAGAATTTCTTAAAAGTAGAAGCTGTAGACCAATTAGCTGCTGCTAGAATGTCCTTGGTTGATACGCCTTGTCGTGCCGCAGCAGAAACAGACGCCCCTCTAGTTGAGTGTCCGGTGAACCTTGAGGTGTCGATTCCGGCCTCTTGTAACACAGTTTTTAGCCATCTAGCGATGGTAGACGTAGATACCGCCTGGTGTGGCTCCACAAGAGCTCTAAACAGAATACTGTCGCACAAACGAAAACTTCTAGTTCTTGATACATACGCTTTCAGGTATGTTACCGGGCAAATTCTTCTGTCCTGCGGGAAGCTTGGAATCACAATGTCGTGTGTGACTTTGCCCGGCCGTGAAGTCTTGGAGAGACTGTTAACAGTAAAACAAACTCCGTCGGAGATTCTTTTCTTGAATCTCAAGTCCAGCAACGAAAGAGACTGCTCTCTTCCCGCAGAAGTAAGAGCAAACAACATAATAAGTTTTAAGGTTAACAAACGAAGTGATAAAGAACTTGCTGGAGACCAACTCCTTAGCAACTTCAAAACTTTACCGACGCTCCAGGTAAAGCTATACTTGGGTAGTGCTGGACGTAGTTCAAACACACCTTTCATGAACCTCCTCACCAACGGATGTGATCCTAGAGGCTGCCCTTCCAAGGGAAGATGTGTGGTAGATATAGCTGATCTGTACACATTGATAGTTCTGTACTGGAAACCCTTGTCGTACAAGGATAACAGAAAGTCTAGCACCTTATTCAGAGGTGCAGAAACGGGATGGATGTGCCGTTGATCACACCAGCCACTCCACTTGTCCCAGGCCGAAGCATACAGCTTCTGTGTTCCTGCTCTCCATGACGCCAAGAGGATTTTGCTAACCTCTGGCGAAATGCCATACATGTCGTGCTGACT